TTCACGAGGCCGTTTTATTGTTCGTTAGAGGAGCGATAAATTCCCCGAACCTATATTGTTCAATTACATTTTATTAATTTGGCTGCATTGGAATAGAGTTTTAGTTGAAATCGTCTGAGTCTCGCTTCTTTGGCTTGAAACTTATAACACCCTTCGTTTTGTGTCGAGGTTCTTTTTGGCGGTGCCCTAATTTAGGATATCGTCAGCGTTAAATTTGTCAAAATAATTTTAAAAAAATAATTCAATTGAGAAGCTCCTCCTATTTCGAAGTTGAAGTGTGGCGAACGTCGCCAATGTCAAGTTTTGTAAAAGCAGTGTTCACAATAACGATAATGTTCACTTCACATTTTTTTGATGATGAATCAAGTGCGCATTTGACCTCAAAGTGCCTTGAAAGTAACGACGAGTAACGACAGCAATTTTGTAGCAGTCGAGATCCTTGTAAAACAGTTCGTCCTGGGTAGGACTGCCACCTTACCTATTTCTACCGCCAAACAGTAATGTCACTATTACTGTGTACCGGTTTTGAAGGGTAAGGGTGCTGGTGAAATTATAGGCACATGGGACTTGTCAACTTATGTCTCAGGGTGACGGGCGAAGTGATAGTGCCCCTCAGATCTTTGCAATTGAAAGCTCTGATTGGCATTGTAACTGTTCGAACAGGCGTGTAGCTTACCATCAGGCGTACGACTTGTTCGTCCCGTCACTTGATTTTATAAAAAACAAGTTATTCAATTAAAAGATACTTTTATTAATTTATTTGTAGTAGTTTTGTTGTCTTTTAACTTATTGTTACCTCTTACAGTAGGAAAACTAAAGCCTGTCTTCGAATGTCATATTAAACGTATGGGAGCGTTTAATGTTAAAATTATGGACACTTCTAGTTATATTTTTAAAGAAATTTTAATTTAGATTTGCTCATTAGGTAACGTACTTTCGATATTAGTTAAAAGTTTTTTTATATCTCTTATATTTATGGAATAATCGCCTGGGCACACTTAACGATTACACCCTGTATAAATGTGGAAGCGTAAACTCTTCGTGCGAATGTTTGGATTATCCAAACATAGGGGTGGAACCCCTAGCCTACGTCTAGTCTATTTACCTATTTATTCAAGGAATATCAAAATCTTCAAACACTAAATAAAAATGGTAATTGAAACACACATCCAATTATAGGTTTCCATTTATAAACGTAGTACCTACCTACAGTACATTTAAAAAAATTCTGTAGCTGTGGTAACTGACAGCAAGGCGCTCGTTTCGATCGACGGTCACGATAATTAGCGTTCAAGTTAATCGTTAACTAAAAATAATCTAGGATGAACCCTGGACAGTTCGTAAAAATCTACAAGATGTACCCTTGTAACGATGTCCACTAATTCACGTGTTTCATACATTATTTTCATAAGCCTCGCTTTTAAGTATAGTTTTTGTTTAAGTAAATACATTAAATGAATAACATAAAATCAATTTTTATTTGTGTAAAATGAGCGAAAAAACATTTATTTTTGAAGAAAATATAATTTTTACGACAACGTGCAAAGGTTACTTCATTACATAGCATTTGCTAGAGATGAGGTATAATTGATCAAAAGTTTTCGAATATTTAGTGACAAAATGTGTAGTGCTTAATTGTATTTATTCGTAAAATATGAATTTTAATTAGGCAATGAATCGACATGTCAGTGTTAATACTTTTTTGAAGAATTGTATGATCAATGTTTTTAGAAATTACTAAAACATCAACTAAAATTGCATTAGAGCAATAGTTGTGTGCTTCATGCCTTTAATAATATAATATAAAACAGTTCACACATCTACACTTTTTTACTCTTTCAGGGACTTTGAGCGTTATTGAACATGTCAGCCCTATTAGAAAAACATTACCTCAAGAAAACACTTAATAAAACCCAGACGGATTAGATCAAAATACTACCTAACCAAACATGTAGGTCCAGAATAAGTCAGAAAAATAAAGCTTCAGAGAGAACCTTTGCTTCAAAAATCACACTAAAAATCTATCGACTTTACTTCGTCACATCAAATGAAGAGTTACAGGCACCATCCTAGATTGTGTTTAGTGCTTAGAGGATGGAAAAAAATAAAAGAAAGGAGCTGCCCTAAGTACAGAATCAACGTGCATATTACCAAAATTTGAAAGTTACAAATGGCGGATTTCTTTAGTGTTGTACCATAATCTATCGATAAGTCATTATCGACATGCAAATGTATGGCTTGAATTTTTGTTTCTTTGGTTTACTGTAACCAAAGTATGCCTAAACAAACACAAGTCTGATAATTTAATCTCGAGTGGTATATTATTATAAATGTCAACACACATTTTTAAACTTCAAAAAAAAATTATTTTCAACATTACAACTGGTAACTTATTTAGTAAAAGTCACCAAACTGCTGTGCAGTTTGTTGGCGACATGCGCATTCTTGCTTAATTATACCTACTTTACTTGTATTACGTAGCATTACGTAGTATTAATTGTACTTACTAAATAAAATATAAAAATTACTTTAAGAGGTACGCCTTTAACCTACATTTTAGTACATATTTACATAACGTCTTTTAACTAACCGTCAAGTACAAGTCTATTCAGGTTTCTGCGGATTCTAGTATTCCCGTTAATTCCCGGGCTTTCTTAAGCAAATGAATCTATCAAGCAATTTTAACACAGAAATAATGGAAGTAGTTGTAAAAATCAATTATCGGAAGTAAACAATTATCATGTACTAGCTTTTCCCCACGACTTCGTCCGCGTACAATTTTTATACAAATGAAAAGTATTCAAGTATGAACCAAATCGCAACACGTGTTAAAAAGTTACCATACAAACTTTATTACCCCATTTCAACAAGTTTGAAAAAGATCAATACAAACAATCATTGCACAAGAGTTTTGTGTAGCTGCCCACACGTTGGTCGCTGTCAGTTTTTATTGTGCGTTGAAACGGGAAGGATGACGTAGAAGTTATTGTAGCTGCTGCTATTTATTAATGGGCGCCTATAATTATCATGTCAGTGAATCCCCGCAATAAAGTTGCAAAAAAGAAATGACAAAAACGAACGTGGTGGATGCTGATTATTCCAGAAACAGAACAACATGACATTTTGTTGATATATAATATATACTTCTTTATTTTGTGTTTTGATTTTTTTTTGAATAGAGTTATAAAACCAGTATGCATTTCATATGCGGACGGACTAACGTGTGAACGCTATTGGTCGAGCGCCTTTGGTTTGTGATAAGCCGAATGAACTCCAAACACGTTGGCGCTCGCCTTCACTCGGTCAGCTAGGCGAGTGACACCGAACAAGGCAAGGCAAGGCAAATAGGCTGTCTATACGTTGGTATGTTGTCATTGTATTGCAGGCTTTAAAAAAATAGTCATTTTTAATAGTTAGAGTTGTCATTGGGAAAAATCAGAAACGAGTAGATAATTTTGTTTTCAGGAACTGAGAATAGCTAGCAAATGAGTCTTGTTTAATCTAAATTGAACATAAAATTATTTACCAATAAACCTAATGATGGAATAGCATTGTCATGTAATCTAGTTACATTTAAAGTTCTGTTACAATTTGACTCTTCAAAATGAAGCGAACAAATGAAGATGGTCTTTGATCCAACGTTTATATTCGGCAGTCCTATGATTTCCAACCATTCTTTCTTCCTTTTTTCATTTGTAGGAAAACTTGAAATAATAATAATAATAAAACAATAAAAACCTCATAGTGAATTGTTTTAATAACAGAATATCGATAATATGTATGCTTACAAGATCAACACTATCTCAAAATAATCGTTAACAACAATCATCAAAATATACAAACAAACAGGCAATCTAAAGTAACAAAAGCAAAATTTGGCAAGATTTATAAATAAACTACTTAAATAAGTCTAATTACATAAAATATTCGGGCTATTGTGTGATTTATAGACAAAAAAATAACACATGCCTGTGCAATGTAACATTCGATTGATTTGCAGTTTTTCTAAAGCCGCATCCTTTAATGCTGCAGCGTCGCATTTTTATTAATACCTAATTATTCTCACTGTCAATATTTTTGTCCAATTTAATTATAATACATGTGAATAATTCAATAATACATTTGGAAAAACATTTGTTTTGACATTTGATGTACTTCCCTTTGACAACGGTATCATGTACCTCATGTACTTGAAATGGCCACGGTTGGCATTTAAAATGACGTTACGAATTTTCGATTCCCGTGTTTGACACAGACCAATGTAATGCTATCTCTTTTGGCTTAAGACGGCACGTAATAGTTAAACAAAGACAATAATATGTTTATGTTTTCGACGTCGAAATGCATCATATACATATAACGTCTGATTTATATATATGTCAACGTAACATGTCCTTTAGTTTCCATAGTCTAAGGTTTAGTGTAATAATAACATATATACATAAACGTACACTGTCGATCGTTGTTTCGATCAGTCTGAAACGATAGACAAATTATCCAGTAAATGGGGGCTTTTGTGGAGGTCTTTTTAATAATAAATTTAACTTAATAAAATTCATTCAATAAAATAATTTGTAAAACGTAATGTAGCGTAAATTGGAATTAAAATTAAAAATAAGGTATTTAATTAATAACTTTTCTAACTATAGTGAAAATATAGGGTGGTTTGCATTTATTAGACAACTGTTTGATGACTGTACCACCTCAGTCAATCGCTTAGAGGATGGAAAAAAATAAAGGAATAGTCTAAGGTCCACCGTGACAATAGGACCTGTAAAGGGCTCGAAAAGTTGGTTTGTTTGAAAAAACAAATATACGCGATTTAAATCCGGAAAAATAGTTTCATTTCCTATGTGTAACAATCGCGAAAACCTAACAACCCGATACTACCAGTATTTTAAAAATAAGCCAAGAGCCAAAGCCAAGAGAAATAAGAAAAAAATTCAAAAATATTTGAAAATTTGATTTTAATTATTTAATTGTCATAAAACGAAAATCCTGAGTTTGCGATTTTTTCAATAGCCCATTCTCGATGTCTTTAATAGCTTTAGAAAAATGGAAAAGGGTGTTCAGAATTATTAAACAACATGGAGGACCTATAAAATCCCTGAGTAAACTATGGAGAACGGATACGCTCAAGGTACAACATTTTGGATTAATGAGAATACTTTAAATAATAGCCTGCACGTCAAAAAAGGTTCACACCAGTTGGGGTAATGTGTCAGAATATGGCCTAAACCAGTTCTTCGACTGTGGGATTGAAAGAAAGGGGTACCTACTATAAAAACAACATTTAGAATTGCATTTGTTGTTAAATTGTTTTTAATGTTTGTTTCGATCAGATTAGACTAGAATCAAGTACTGAGAAAATAAATCGATCGAAAAACGTCATTTACTTGGGGGCCACGGCTAAGAACGCTGGGATTGGGTATCGACAATGGACACTAGCCCCCCAGTAGCTGGGATGAACAACGCCCTTTCCCTCCGCGTATTCACGACGAGCAAGCCATACTGCCTCGTCATCCTCCTCGCGGCTGCTTACTTTCCTGACGATCGGAGCTCTCACAGCCGCGTATTTTTTTTTTTTGCTTTTTTTTTTGCGTGGGGTAATCCTCCTTCTCCGCCGCGGGGGCAGCAGAGAGTTTATATCGGACTTGTAATAATTTTAAATATTCTATATTCTTCTAATAATAATTAAAAGGGGTTTAGCTAGCGCAAGTTCTGTCTGCTACCCCCGCGATTAAAAATACCCACGAGGATTTGCTAAGGTGCTGTGGCAGCGGAAGACGAGTGCCAGAATGGAATTTAGGGCATTTCCTATTAATTTTCCCAAGAACTATGGTCTGTCGTAGACAGTAACAAAAGTGTTTGTTTTAAGAATTCGAAACACGCGCCTAAAACAAGTTATAATAAAATTTAAAAAAACATTTACAATTTTTGTGAGTACTGTTTTCATAGCGCCTCTTTGGGATCCCAGCGCGTTACATCGCGTAGTACTACGGTACCATTCCTTTACTGTACATCTGGCGCACCTTGGGCAAAAATCGGCGAGTAGGTACCTTACACTGATTGGTAATTCCTCACCACGATGGCATGCATTTTTAGTGTATGTCGTTGATACGATAAGAAGATTCAGTCATCTTTATATTGCAATTATATTACACAAAGTCGTTGAAAGACCAAGTATAAAGACACGACGCAAGCACATAGAGAAATTCGTGAAGTCCGTTGGTTCGTTCCGTGGCTTAGTTGGTATAGCGTCTGCCACGGTATGCAAGAAGACTTCGGTTCGAATCCGACCGGATCGAAGGAATTTTTTTTGAGTGTTCGATCTTTGTATTAATAATTATAACAAACTAGTGGAGTAATTTCACAAAAAATAATTGAATATCAATTCAATAAAAATTTATTTGCAATTATATTATAAGATTTTTGTTATTTATTATCATATTATTAAAACACTTAGGGCCAGCGCGAACCGGCGAACGAGAATGTAGAGGCTGTTAAATCTATCAAACGAGTTCAAAAAAAAAGAGGTGGTCTCAATTCGACAGTATTTTTTTGTGTATACTACGTTATACGATTATAATCGTATAACGCGAATATATATTAGGGGTTAAAGTATGAAATTGCCGTTTTATTGAAAGCCATTTAGAAAGCCATTTATTGCACAATCACAAACACGCATATAAACAAAAAACAAAAATAATAATAAAAACAAAAGGACATTGAGGAACAATAATAATACAAAATATGCAGGTAATTCATCGTCATGCGTGTCGCGACTAGTGCAAACGGGACTTGCTCAGCTTTAGCCACAACCGGTTTGTTTACCGTGTCGTGGCGCTGATTTTCAGCAAGTTTTATTGAAATAGGTTCTTTGAATTTTCATAGAATCTTCATGGTTTGAGGTTTTCGAATGAAACTTTTTTCAAATGGTTTCTGTGATTTTTTTTTTTTAAATTTGAAACATTTGAATATCGACTTTCAATTGTTTTTGTTATTCAATTTAGACAAGAAAGATGGATATTGCGAAAATTCGAGTGATTTTTGAATACGAGTTCCGACGCGGAACTAACGCGGCAGAAACAGCCCGCAATATCAATGCTGCGTTTGGAGAGGGGTCTACTAATGAACGCACCGTGCGATTTTGGTTTAAACGCTTTCGTGATGGAAATTTCGACTTAAAGAACGAGCCACGAGGAAGACCGCCCACACAGGTGAATAACGATGAATTAAGAGAGATAGTGGAAGCCGATCCTAGTCACACTACCCAGGAATTAGCGGCATGGTTTAACGTTACCTTACCCACAATATTGACTCACTTGCGTCAAATCAATAAAATAAAAAAATACGAAAAATGGGTGCCTCATGATTTGACTGATCTGCAGAAAGAAACGCGTGTTGAAACTTGTGTTGCCTTGTTGAACCGGCACAGAAATGAAGGAATATTGGATCGAATTGTAACATGTGATGAAAAGTGGATTCTTTATGATAACCGGAAAAGAAAAATGCAATGACTGACCTCAGGTCAAATGCCACAACAGTGTCCTAAAGCAAAACTTACCAATAAAAAGGTAATGGTAACTGTTTGGTGGTCTCAGCATGGTGTTATTCACTATAGTTTTCTCCGATCTGGTCAAGCAATAACGGCAGATGTCTATTGTGCCGAACTCCGAACCATGTTGACAAAACTATCAGTAAAACAGCCCCGACTCATGAATCGATCTTCACCATTATTGCTCCACGACAACGCGAGACCTCACACAGCACGAGAAACCATTTTGACCCTTCAGGAACTGCAGTTAGAAACCATTCGTCATCCTCCGTATTCACCAGACCTTGCTCCAACGGACTACCATTTTTTTCGTGATTTGGACAATTATCTACGTGACAAGAAGTTTTCTTCCCAGGAGGCAGTACAAAATGCTTTCACACAGTTTGTGCAGTCTAGATCGTCGGAGTTCTATCGCAAAGGCATTAATAACCTTCCCATTAGATGGCAGCAATGTATAGATAATAATGGCAACTATTTTGATTAAATAAATTTGTTAAAAATTTAAAAAATAAACAATTTAGATTTTCAGTACAAATCGGCAATTTCATACTTTAACCCCTATTATTACGTGAATATATTCCAGCATAAACTGTTTTAAATTAAATTAGTGAACCGACTTTGATGCTTATTTAGCATTGGCTTCATTTAAATTTGAAGAAAATATTCCACCTCTATTCCTCATCAGTGCGCGTTGGTGTATAAATAATATCCTCTTCAAGGCTTGCACCCGCAGTCCGCCGGTTTGCACTGACCTTAAGCGGTGGGTGTTGTTGGTTAGCGAACAAACGAAACCTTTTTTGTGGTCATTGAGGTAGAGAACCGAATAAGGACAATTTATTAACTGCCTCCGTGGCGGAACGGACTGCCACGCAGAGGTCCCAGGTTCGATTCCCGGGCGGGGAGAAATATTTGTATGGCCTACATTTATTTCTCTCGTGAGTTTGGGTGGAATTTGTGGTTGTCTATGTGTCTGTCCATGGCACCTGCGTGCGTCTCTCGTGCGGCGCTATGTTGAGTCTGTGCGCTATTATTATTATTCAATACTACCATGATTTGGTTGCCAGGAAGGCAAGCTGGTGGGCCGCGATCTCCACGGTAACAGATACTATGAGAACGACTATTATCTGCTTGGGCGGAACCGTTGGGTAGAGTTTAACGACAAAGTGAAGTTCGAGTACGACGCTAGCCAGGTAATATACATCTGTTTACCTCCTCACTAATGTCACAGATAATTAATAGGTACTAATTTGTCGTACTTAAGACCGAGTAACGGCTAAAGTGCTGGATTAAGCGCTTTGGAAAAAATATATACTAAAATTGAATATACACACTATATAGAGTGAAAACTCGATTCCTAAAAAAAAAATTCTTCTTTCTTCCGCTGTATTTGATAGGTACTTTATATATACCAATGATTTTTTGATATCAACTGAACTGAATAGAACACGTAGAGTATAAGGTATACACTTTTGAAGTAGCTAATTTCACAAATAAAGCCAGTGTCACTGACAGTCGACCGGAGCATAGTGAACCGTATTAGTTAGGGATAAATTTGAATTCCTGCTGACGTAGTATCGACCTTTAAGATTCATAAATGAGCAGGTGTAGGATAGACGTAGTAATCATATGTTCAATCACAGCCTTTCATACACTATGAGTCGTATTCCAGAACTGTACTCAATGCTTAGTGTGATTTAAAGCACTTGAAATCATACTCGAGTCCTGACTTGGGCATCGAGTAGAGTTCTGGAATACGAGCCTATGATTGCATTATCAATTTTAACATTCCATTAAAGATCCACTAGACCAATAGGTTCCCAAAATTTTTGGTTCACCGTCCACTTAGACAAGATAATAAAATTTCAACGCCTTTCACCATCAAAACGAATTGAAAACATCGTATTTGTTTATATCAACGTAACACAAAAAAACCACAAGGAAATAAAATTATATATGTAATTGTAGTGTAGTTTATATAGATAATTCAAGTTTTTTTTTATGTCAAATGCGGTAGTACTTGATTCCAAGCAATTGCTTCCGAGGCCCCCTCAGAACTTTTCAGCGTCCCCTGGGTAGGGAGGGCTTTGGAAAACTTTGCACTAGACCAAGACTCATTTTTCAGTGTATAAGTAGACTATAACCATAGTATAAATAAGAAAAGTAGAGTAACTTCATACAAACAACGGTCGAACTGTGGTCGCTGGATGCGGGTTCGATTCCTGGTAGGACCAATTTGGGAAATCATCTTTTCTAAATTGGTTTAAGAAGACTACCACGAAAAATAGTTTCGTATCGAACATATTTAAATTTTTCTATGTTATGGTTATTACGAATAACCTGCAACGTAAAAAGGCGAATTCTCCTTATCGCAAGTGTGATGATAAACATTATATGCCCACGGGTGTAACAGCCATTATAAATGTTCAAGAAAACTCGCGTCTGTCCCTCTGTTCGTAATTGCGCATTTTACCGCCCTTGTCACACTACAAAAAATCTGACGTCGTGTCATCACAGATACATCCAGAATGGTACGGATGGCTGCACTACGTGACGGACTGTTTGCCGTGCGAGGACTCTGCCAAAATGGACATTGCGTGCTGTGGCTGGTACACCTGCTGGTTACTACCGTACGAGGAGAACTGGTCGGGCTCTGTGAAGACTTTCCAGCCGTACAGCACCACTCCTACACGTATCCAATGTTGGAACGGTAAGAATTTTATGATGTAGCACTAACAGCTTATCTACTTACCTTCAATCAAATCTTTGCAGGAAATAGATAAAACCTTTTTCAACCGGGACCTGTAAAGAGCCCAAAACACTGGTTTGTTTGAAAAAACAAATATAGGCGATTTAAATCCGGATTGAAATAGTATAATTTCCTAAAACTTTTTTGTTAAAATGTGAAGTTCTGCGACTTGAAATTACATTTTTTTTGTAGTTATTTTTTATATCTAAGTGTATTATTAAGTATTTTTTTTATAATTTCTCTCCTGATCTATGTAGATTTAAAAAAACTTTTTTCTTTTAGGTTATTCTTAAAGGTACAGCTTTAGTTTAAAAAAAATTTAGACATGATGTCATTGGCTCAAACCCTTTCCGCAAGGAGCCAAAAAAAGAAATGCAAGAAATTTTCAACTTGATTTGGTGAGATATAAAATGGCCAATGCGAGTTTCAAAAGGGTAACCACGCTTTTACGTACACTAATGCCGAATCTAAATTGTATTTACTAGGCTATAACATTCCTCGGAATAATACAACCGCGCGGTCGCCGCGTAGACCAAGGCGTAGGAGCGGGCGGGGGCGTGAACTTGTTGTTCGTTTGCTTATTGAATTTAAAACGTATACACGCAAAGCGTATTTTGCTATAACAGCTCGGTATCCACGCGGTCATGCCAGAAATCGTTTCTTTATTCTTTATTCTTGAAGACAAATTACAATCTAATATATGGTCATTGACTTACAAATAAATATGGTAGTCTTTTTTACCAATTAGAGGCCTTAGTCTGTCCCGAAGGACGAAAAAAGTGCCATAAGCCTCGAGTACCTACTATCGGAACCACTGTTACTAAAACGCACACAAACAAATGATAAACACTATGAAATCTTGATAATGATTGGTCGTGGTTTCTAATTTAAAAAGATGCAACAAATTCTGGATTGTTAATATAATTCAAACTTTACCTAGTCGCTATATCGTTGAAAGTTTAATAACTTTATTGCAAGTTACGACGATGTTTTGATTTTATATTGAAATTTTATGCTTCGTGCTGCCATCTTACGGCTAGCAGCTGGACTACGACCAACGATTAACATCTGAATCATTTCGATAAACAAAAAATTGGAAATTTATAAAAGCAGATGCAGCTATCGTGTTTGCACTCCAAAACAGCACAATAAGGCATTTTTCTGCCATTTTAGAGAATTTGCGCGAAAGAATGACACAACCATACCATACAAAGCGAAAATGGACTGAGCTCTAAGTAAGTCTTTCGAGACCCACAGTTGGCACGCGTCGGATGCTAACGAACCACTTATACTGTATTTATTGTTCTATGAGTTTGGGTTATAAGCTATACTACACCTAGGAGCTACACGCCTGTTCATAACAGTTGCAGTGCCACTTAAGAGCTTTAAATCGCAAAGATCTTAGGGGCACTGCCACTACGCTCGTCACCCTGAGACATAAGTTGACAAGTCCCATAATTATGTTTGTAATCTCACCTTATTTCACATTTGATGAGGGCAGCCGACTCCTTGCAAATGTTCAAACACGCCCTCTATGAAATAAATGGAGAACTGCTCAGTCTTCCACTTTAGTAATAAATGCAAGAATACACTGATAGAGTAGGGGCGGTGGTGGCGCAAAGTTCGTGCATGGAGGAATAATAATTCGTTTCACGCGCTCTGACACTCGTGTCCGACACACCGATACCGACGTTACCTGAAATTCGTGTAACTGTATCGACATAGCTTCTACTTATCGACTTGGAGGCTTTGTTCTTATATTTAAAAAGAAAGTGTATTCCAATATCCGAAATCCGGAGCTAAGAATGTATTGCCAACTGGCAGTCCTGCAAGTTTAACGTAAATTTTTATTGAGTACAAATATAATTGTAAGTCAATGAGTACAAAATATCGTTTAGTTTAACAAAAAGTAAGGGACAGTTATAGAAGAGTTCAATGTACTTTTACACACAATTTGAAAGTTCATCAAGGTTTTTTATGTTCCATGGACACAAGGTTAAACACCTCATGATAACTTTTCTCGTGTTCTTGGTACAATTCCATTTACGATTGCAATTTTTTATGCTTTCTACAGTGTATGAAGATTAATTATTTTAATAATTAATATTTATGGTTATGGTAACTCTGATTGCGTGTTGTCACTAAAATCTGTCGTCAAGGACGTGTCGGAACAAAACGGCTACTACTAATATGAAACTGAATTGAGGTTCAAGTCGAAGACTTTCTTTTCACGGCTGCATTGGTGTTGTAGTTACATTAGCAATTTCATAGATGGCGCTATCGTGATTAAAAAGGCGACCCTACCGGCTGCGCGGTCTATTGATGTTATCAATATTATAGGTTAAATGTGTAGATATAATTTATTAATATAAGAAATTAATTATTAATCGACTTCAAAAAAGAACGAGGTTCTCAATTCGACTGCATTTTTGTGTATACACAATATGCAATGAATGTATCTATCTAGATTACCGCGACATTATTCTGTGAACTGATTCCAATGATTCTTTTTTATTGGAAAGGGGGTACCTCGGTAGTGATCCCATTCCAATTTGGAGAAAATATTCCACCGCTAGAGGGGACGAATCCGGCTTATTGGATTTCACCCAATGTCCATTAACCGATTTTAATAAAACTTGGCACATAGATATCATAAAAATAAATGGATATCATGATAGGAAAACCATCATGATATACAATAAAAATTAATAAGTATTACATATATGTACAGTGTTGGATTTTCTCAATGTCCGTCGGCAATCATCGGGTTTCCGAATGCACACGAATACTAATTTCCATGCTCATTAATTATTAGATTTAAAATCTATAATAAATCGAGTTTAGAACAACGTACTTTATTTTGATTTTCATATGAACAATATAGAGCTGTAAGACCATTTCCCTATTTTTAATAACATTTACTCCATGTCAATAAGCAAGTTAACAAAAATATGAAGTATATAAAGTGTGCTTCTTTTATATAACTAAAATGAGTATTTTTCCGGTTATAAAACTGAACGCATTTCGTCATCTGTCATAGCTATGTTACTATGTTCGCCATCGATGGAATATTTGCTTTTCCGCGCAGCCTTTATCTGCGCAGATTTATCTTTTTTATCTTATTCTTTTAAAATATTATTTGCTGTTCCGTTTCAAATACCACAAACTACAGAAACATGTTTTTGGGCTTTTATAAAATAACCATTGTTGTCTTTTTTGGATGTATCGGCTTCTTGTAAAAAATACAAGTACACACTGTCTGTCGTGCCTGCGACTTTAGCGGATTTCCTCCCATTGTATAAAAATAAAATAAATGCAATAGCAACTCTATAGACTGTCAAGTCCACTGAAAGCGTCCTGTCTGTACCAAAGGCAAAGGGCAACTGAATAAAACCCGACGATAGCCGAAACGTTGAGAAAATAGAAGCACTTGAATTCCAATGAAAATAAAATGTCAAATAAAATGTGCGTGATATCGTGACCTGAATTGATCTGATGATGGAAATGGCAGACAGATGAGAGTTACTCCTCAACTTGTGCTGCAGCTATCATGTGTCAGTGCTCATATGATTCGTTTTGACGAGACTTCCACCTGCGTTACTATTATCGTCGAGAAGGCCGCGACTACGACCATTGTGAAGGTGGATTTAATAAGCAAAGTTTGAGGTCGGCTTTTATTATTATTTTATTATTTATAAGTGCTTCATGACAGAACTTCTTCAGAAAAAAAAAATATTTTCTCACCTTTCATAACCGAAAAGCTTGCGGCAGACATAGGTAAGGTGGTAGACAGCTCTATTGTAACTGCATTGTGGTATTGACAATGTATATATTCTATGCTATTCATAGATGGCGCTTAATGTGAAATACGTGTAAATGACGAATATCGTGACGACAAACTTTCAACCTAAGAAATTCCCACGGTTTTTATAAAGAATTTGAAAAATGATGCAATTTTTTCCCAACGTAAATAATTGCACGTTAACTAAGTGGAATTGCCGCTCGGAATTTATAATGTCGTTTGTTATTGTTTCAGGTGGTTGCGCGGGTGATAAACTCGGTTACGGGTCTGACAGTTTGGTTGGTCCTTGCCCTTCTTCGTAATTCTCTCGCCCCGCGTGTAAAGTTATTGCACCAATCACAATAATTACGACGCGTTCAGCGGGAAGTCTTTAATAGAATCCTATTAAATTAATAATTAAATGCGTTCTTGTACTTATTAGCTTTTTATTGTTTTTTATACCATTTATCGTCGGAATTATGTTTGTTTTTTCAAACAAACCAAAGTTTCTGGCACTTTACAGGTCCCATGGTCAGGGTTGGTTCACGGTTACAGTCAACCGTGACCATGTTATTCTTGAAGCACCTTATACATAGTTACAGCCATTTTCCCACTATAGATGATCTACGGAACTTATCTCGTAGTCTGTTAATCAAAACACGGGCCAGTGCCTCTACCATGAGATTACAGTGACAGTTATCGCTAGCGATCGAGTTTACTTCACACTTTTGTATGAAAAAATGTACAATCACAAGGAAAAGTTTTGAATGCAAATATTCACCGTATTCGCTAGCGATAACTGTAATTGAAAACTCATGGTGCAGTGCTGTTCGAAACAGTCAGATGGCCCGTTCGAAACTTTCAAATCGCGTTGTCAAACGTTTTTAGTTCCACACAGTTAGTGCACCGCCAACATACAAAGGTAGATAATTAGCGACTGCATCGGTACTGCATCGCGTTTGCATCGCTGCTAAAAAATAGCATCCAAATGTAAAGTAATTATGTAGTGTAGTATTATTTATAGTAATACTGCAGAAAAAAAAATGAGTGTAGGTTACACAACTTTTGCGCTAATAGCTTCAATTTAATAATAATAATAATAACGCACACACTCAACATAGCCCCGCACTAGGGAAACCCTGTGTCGCGGGTGCCATGGACACACATATAGACAACCACAAATTACACCCAAACTCACGAGAAAAATAATTGTAGGCCATACAAATATTTATCCCGGCCCGGGAATCGAACCTGAGACCTCTGCGTGGCAGTCTGCTATGCTAATGCTAACCGTTCGGCCACGGAGGCAGTTTAAGGCAATTTAAGGACACTTAACGTTATGGATTGATTCAATTAACTCTTGACTGTTTTGACCTACCGCTTCTGAAGCAGAGGCCGTGGGTTCGATCGGGGCTCGCACCTCTTGTGTTATTTGAAATTTATGTCCGAAATTTAATTTGAAATTCGCCATGAGCTTTTCGGCGAAGGAAAATATCGTGATGAAACCGGCACGTTGAAGAAGGTTCACAACCCTTGAAAATCGTGTGAAGTTCCCAACCCGCATTGGGCCAACGTGGCGGACTATGGCCTAAACCCGAGACCCGTGCCCAGCAGTGGGACGTTATAAATGGGTTGATGAAATTTGGCTGAATTTGCCAGATAACCACACTTGTCTAATCTCAAACTAAGTATACCCTGTACTTTGACTACCAGGGCAACAGAATTAACTTTGCTTCACTACTCGAAACATTCAAACCAGAACTAAGTTATAATAGTTTAACGGCACGCGAACAGTGCAAACCAAACCATTGAAGTCGTCATAGTAGGAATATTTTTAATGTAAACGTTTCTTGCCGTAATTGTTATTCAATTACGCTATTATTTCAAATGGACAAATTCCCTTTCAAAAGTCCACATTAGGAGTTGAGTGGACTTCTACCATCGTCCTCAGCACGGAGTAGTCAATGTAAACCTTTTTGGCTTTGCATGTCCGTGAATAGGGATATCGTTAATCAATAGATGGCGTTGGCATCTCCTTTTTATTGGCCACAAAATTTTGAAATAATTTTTCGGAACCCGAAATAATATATATTTCGCAAAGGCAGATTTACTTCAAAACTTGTTTAAAAAATCATCAACCCAGTATAAAGAATGAACTTATAGATAAGTACAGAGAAAAATACTTTCCGTTTTAGTCACCAGGGGCGATATGAGCTGATGACTCTATGTACCATAGATTTAACCTACATACTAAATCTATGCTATGTACAGAGCAAACTGTTACTTGGATATTATGTACGTAGTTGTCTATGACTTGGACTGCCAGGCGAGATCATTGAAAGTAAGGGTAAGGGTAAGCCATTTTATTGTAATAATTTAAATATTAAATTAATAATAACTGTCGATGTGTGTGACTATTAAACGGCTGTAGTAAAGTTTATAATTAGTTATTGTTTTACTCGTACTACTGATCTTAACTTCGTAGTTCTCGCGTATGCGGATAGATGCCGCGAGATGTGTCCTCCTGAACTTTGATCTCATTCTATTGTACTAATTAGACAACCATAACATTGAATTATAATTATTTATTAGTAAGTTATAAACACTGATAATATATAACGAATTATAATAAAATAAACAGAATATTAAAAATATATTCTATGCAATATTACGACTGTAGAAGCGCGATGATAAAATGGCTGAAATTGTTAAACTATGACGAAACTGAGGATCTACTAAATGTACCTGCTTAATTCGTGGTGTTGACTTTCACAAATACTGTTTGTTGCTCACGTGTACGTATACTCAATTCTCAACTTCAACCATTGCTAATACTCTCATCTCACACACATTCACTTATACACACTCACTTACATACATACACCTTTTTACATTATATATATACCTAATATCCTAATTTTAAGTAAATAAATTGTACATGTTTAAATATTTAATATCTGGTCATACATAGTTTTGTAATGTGGAGGAGCGATATTCCTATCACAAGTATATTTTTACTTAAAAGGAGTGTCAAACCCAGAACAATGAAAACCCATGTATAAGTTGATGAAAATAAACATTTTTAATTTTTAATTTTAATTTAATTTTAATAACGATACATAAATAATGTACTTGTATGATGTAATTAGAAGTATCTGCATTGAAGTAAATACAAAGACATTTTAATGTTGTGGTTCCTAATTACGCCACTAGATGTCACTGCTTCTGCAAATTTTGGTTGGTCTTGTACTCTTGTGTGTGGTTAGACGATAAAACGGATTCAAAGTCCCGCGGTGTTTCCTAGTGCTTTTCCTCTAAGTTGTAACATTAGTAGCATTTAGATGACGTAGCTGTTTGCTTGGGAAATGATACCCAAAATCATTGACTTACAATAGGGAATCGGACATTTTTTCAGAAAGTGTCTAGAATTAACTAAAATAGATATGTACAGCCATGAAAAATAATATTTTATTAAAATAAAGCTTAATAGTCTCTAAAATGTGCTAAAACTACGTTAAAATTTAAATAGAAACAAATTGGCGCGCAAACGTAACAAAATGTCAAATTGAACGCGTGACGTCATTTGTAGGTAAACAAGCTACGAAATCAAGGGCAAGGTGTTATTTTAAAGTTTTTGTGAAGTTTGAAGTCGTTATGGAACGGAAAACATATCGTTGGTGTGTAGTACCTCAATGTAGGAATACTTCTATAACTACCCCAAATAAACTATTTATTGATGTACCTACCTCGAAAATCCGACATACGAAAAAAATGGTAGGTCCAAGCACGACGAAATGTCTGTAAATTCAGCGATATACTTTTGTGAGGATCACTTCGACGTAAGTACACTTTATGCAGTGAGTGATACATAGATCGAAGCATGTGTTAATAATTACATAGTAAATGTTGTGTTATATTCACTAGTGCCTTTAATTATGTAATGTAATAATTATGTATTCGAATTTTAGCTGCCGAATGATATGGAAAATTACATGCGATGGAAGGACTGTACATTACCATTATTCCTACATTGAGGTACTACACACCAACGATATGTTTTCCGTTCCATAACGACTTCAAACTTCACAAAAACTTTAAAATAACACCTTGCCCTTGATTTCGTAGCTTGTTTACCTACAAATGACGTCACGCGTTCAATTTGACATTTTGTTACGTTTGCGCGCCAATTTGTTTCTATTTAAATTTTAACATAGTTTTAGCACATTTTAGAGACTATTAAGCTTTATTTTAATAAAATATTATTTTTCATGTCTGTACATATCTATTTTAGTTATTTCTAGACACTTTCTGAAAAATTGTCCGATTCCCTATTATATGGACGTCGGGTCCACGCTAAAAAGTGTCCGAACTTATAGGGCGTTAAAATCGTATACAGAGCGTCATTCACGCTTTAGTCTTCGTTTGTTCGACTGACAGCGAATAAAGCAAAATTAGACAGTACTGCGATGACATTACAATTTAAATCCAACGTTTTAGCTTTTTCATATTCCTTTACATTACTTGTCACTACGTTTAAATAGGTTGACTTGGGACATTTTTTTCGTGGTTTTTGTATTAGACCCGTCGTCCATTTATTTGTAAGTTAATGACACTTGCACATAAACGAAAACGGTGTCATGACATGCAGGCAACGTAGACCGTAATGTCTTAAATTACGCTCGGGTTTCAGTGCTCAAGGTCAACTTGCACCGCGAACAGATCAAGAATTTTAGCTAAAAATGACGAAATGTGCGGTAAATGAGTGTAAAAATACGTCAGACAAACATAAAATAGATACTAACATCACATCACAAGGAAGTAACGCGTTTCAACTTGTATTTTTATATAAATATTCACTAAAACCGAAAATTAACCTACTACTAAAACTAGCCTACATGAATTTGATTTTGCCTCATTTGTGACAGTTCGTTTGATATGAAACTATCATTCTATGCGTTATTATTCTAAGAGTATACACATTTTTCAAATGGCTTTAACATCGTTTGTAAAAAAATAAATTCTGACATAAAGCCAGAAATAGTTTGTTCATTTTCCATCATTTCATTTCATCCCTGCCACTTTAGTACGGGAAACATTGGACGTAGTTAAACAAAAAGGATTCAATCCACATTCACTCACTTTCGAGTTATAGCAGTTTGAAGTTTAAAAGTGTTTCTCACCCTTGTTTTATTTTCAAAACTTATGTCATGTATCTTCAGAGATATTTATCAGTGCGTGCTGTAATAAAAACAAAAACACCTCGAGTTCAGTTTCGCGTGTGGGTTCCGAGTTCAGTGAGTGTGGTTTGTGTGAAAAAAGTGGGTGACTATGATAATGCCACAACAAATCGCAATGAAGTGGTATACGTCGACAGCGCTAAAGGGTAGACAGATATGTCTGTTCTTAAAGCTGTCATCTGCCGCCGTCCGGTTATACCGTGCAGAGCGTGCAACCGTTCCGAAATATCCGGAAAATCAAAAGAAGTCATACCGTGGTAAGAAACCTGATACTAGTGATAATCATTTAGTGAATAACTACGAAAGTCTTAATTTTTTTACTGTTCTAAGAGTACACTTTAGGAACCGTTTGGTACATATAACTCATTTTTAGATACTTTTGTAGATTGCATTCTTTTTGCTTAACTACCATTGACTTACAAATAAATGGACGACGGGTCTAATACAAAAACCACGAAAAAAATGTCCCAAGTCAACCTATTTAAACGTAGTGACATGTAAAGGAATATGAAAAAGCTAAAACGTTGAATTTAAGTTGTAATATCATCGCAGTATTGTCTAATTTTGCTTGCTTCGCTGTCAGTCGAACAAACGAAGACTAAAGCGTGAATGACGCTCTGTATACGATTTTAACGCCCTATAATTTCGGACACTTTTTGGCGCGGACCCGACGTCCATATAATTGTAAGTCAATGTTAACTACGCTCAATTTGAATTCTAGCTGAGGTAATAATCTTATATACAAGCTGAGACAATATCGATTTTTAAGCGACAGTTGCAGTGCCACTCAGATCTTTAGATCGCAAAGATCTCAGAGGCACTGCCGCGGCGCCTGTCACTCTGAGACATAATTTCATAAGTCCTATGTGTTTGTAATTTCGCCAATATCCTCTTTAAAACCGGAACGCAGTAGTGCTAGGCGACAGATATGTCTAAAGTGGCCGTAGTTCCCTGGACGAACTCTTTCACATGGAGCTCTACTATAATGCTACCAAAAACTTCTGTCTTTCTTTCACTACAGTTTTAAACCATGTAAATGGTAACTACATTCGCTCTGGACCTTTTGGAGGGAAAAGTGTCGTTTTTATTTTGACTTTCAATTATTTTGTGAAATCTAGTTTAAAGTGGAATAGGATAGTGCTATTGTGCCTTAATCGAAGATTAAAACGCGAAATTATACGAATCTCAAACTAGAATACCCGTATCAGCCCGTTTTATGGAATCCCGAGTCAATCCAAGCACGCCGCCTCAAATTGCCTATCCTCTTTGTGGCGGCCATATTTACAGAAACATAATTTAAACTTCATGTTTAGGCTAATGGCTTTGCCAAAGCCTTAATAAATTAAAAAAAAAAAAAAATAAATAAATGGTAACTACACTTTGGTTTATTTTACCGCCTTTTTCTTTAAAAAAAAAAGAAATGGTACAGGTAGGTATCGCAATTACAATCACTCGATAGTTGGCTGTACGAGATTTTCCTTTGCCTGTTTACATAGTTCATTGTTAGTAGATAGATTTAAAAGTTTGGAGAAGAGGACAGAAGGTGGACAGTAATGGTGGTCCATAAATGACAAACTATCCCTGTTCGTTTTTTAAAAGTAACGCAAACATTTCTGATCATGTTTGAGAAATATAGGTAGTTTTTATATCCAATATTTTAATTAATAAACATTGAATGTAGCGTGCGCTCCCGGACAAGACTTGACATATTGCGTCCTTAAATTGGGGCCCTAAAGGTATATCCTTGGTTAGGTTTAGGGAATTCCTATGGATCGATGTATCGCATTACTGATTGGATGTCCGGAAACACGCAAATGCGCAAACTATGTAAATGAATTAAGGTACAGTTTTCAACAAATGCCATTTACAGATTGTATTCGTACCTGTTTACGTTCTTAGGTATTCGATGTTTTTTTTAAAATTAGGAATGCACACGATATACTTGGCATTATGCTACTGTTGTTATTTTACAGTAAGTAGAGGTTGTGTTTCTTCCAGATAATCTTAGTAACAGTAAATCTTGTTGTGAATGTCAGCATTACAGCGTTCCGGTTTTGACTTGTCAACTTATGTTTCAGGTTGACGAGCGCAGTGGCAGTGCCCCTCAGATCTTTGCGATTTAAAGTTTTGAGTGGCACTGCAACTGTTATGGACAGGCGTGTACCTCAACCATCAGGTGCACGACTTCATCGTCTCGTCACATGATATTATAAAAAAAATATGTAAGTAGTGGGGTACGGCAGTGACCTAGACGTGTAACAAGAACCGTCATCCGTATAGGTACCTATATATATTTTCTCGAAACAGGTGGAGTAAGGTGCTATTGATTTTCGTTTGCCTGAAGTTACCCGGGTCAATTACAAAACTTTGGTGAAATAACGTGTTTGATTTTGTTAATAACGTAATGACTAGAGCGACAACGCAGTTTAGAAAAACTTTATATATTATAAAATTTACAAAATTCGCATTCACTGGAGAGAAATAATTTCTTCTATCTGCAAATCGGGCATTGTTTAAATACATTGCTTAAGCCGCTTAATAAAACACAACAAAGAGTATGTATAGCGCCTAAAATTTGGACGGGCTTGCAATCATAACAAAAATTTACGAGTAAGAGAAAAATCGTGAAGACAAATTTGTAAAATCCCCTCCTGCCGGGTTATGGGCGTGACTGGGGGGCGGGGTGGCCCCTCCCCGCGCGGGGCAGGTGGTGATGTGCGGCAGCGGCGGCAGTCGCCCGGCGGACGCGGCGCGGAGTAGACGTGCTATGCCGCGTGAGTGATAAGTGTAGTGGGGCCGCGGCCCAATCGTTCGAAAATAGAAAACGGAAAAATTGAACCCCAGATGGGAGTGTACGAGGAGAGGGGAGCGATGCACTGGGTAAGTTTTTGTTTTTTTTTTTATACTTAATTAAAAAGTCTTTACAAGTACAAATTTAAACCATCAAAACGCTTGGCTGAAAACTAAATAGTTTCTTAAAAGTCCATAACACTTATTATGCAAAATACTACGTGTTTAAACTGTGACTGTTTTTCATTAATTTCCATCTACTTGTTAACGCTATGTAAAATCCCACGGTATCATATAATGAAAATTAACGTGAACGGCGTCTTGAAAAGATTTAAATAAAAATGCTGGCGTTGAAATCTTTCGTATAGAGTTCGAATACGCTTCGAACGCCGCGGAGCCTGCACGTAGAGAAATATTTTTCATATGGTACCAAATTTTTTTTCATCCTCTAAGTGTACCAATAATCAATATTTTAAGACTTTTTGAACATACATTAACACTGATTAGTTTACCTGATATATATAAGTGTCAAGAAAGATTACGCTATAATAGTTTCATAAAAAGCTACTAAAATTATTATTTAAAAAAAGTAAACTTTCTCAAAAAGTCCAGTAATGTTTACCAAAAATCCTTTGATTAACTACCCAGTAACCGACACCCACCAATAATTAACACCCAGTTGATGAGAATTACCAATAAGAAACATCCAGTAACTGAAACAAGTCACCTAACTAACCTAACCCAAATAGTCGTAGAATTAAGATATAATACAAATATATAAAGAAAGTTTAAGTTTGTGAAATAATAAATCTAAACAACACAATACATTTTTAATACACACTCGAACAAATGGGGAAGGCTATCCGAAAAGGAGAAAAAGTTGCAGTACCCCCTGATAAATAAATGGTTTATTGAATTTTGATACTACACATTTAATACACTACTTACATTTTTGACATTGTCATGTCAATATAAATGAATATGAACCTAGCATTGACATTACAATCTTATAGCCTCATCAGCCTCCATTGCCTTGCCCATTTGTTCGGGTATGTAGTTCTTTTCTGGAGCCATTTAGAACGAAATCCGTAAAAACCTGTAGCGGACACTGATTTTACCTAATGACCGGCACATTGTTCTTTACTAGTAAACGTATATCAATTAGTAATTTTAAATCCTTAATCAGCAAATAAGAGCTCAGAACTCAGAAAGTCCTTAAAAATACGTATGGTCACCTGTCGATTACTGGATAAAGTTAACTTGTCAATACTGGTAACGATTTGCAGCCCCAAAATGGAAATAAAACATGTGCATGTCAAATCATCACAACAATAAAGCACCATTTCATAAAATCAACCAAAATTTGCAGCTAAAATGTAAACTCACGTTATCGATACCGTTAATAAAAGTGGATTTTATATAGCAACGCGCCAACAACCCTTTTTACTCTGCCGTTTTGAAACGAAATGGCCGATAGTCGTGAAGTTTTCAGAAGTGATGACAGAAAATATGTTGTCTCAGGTTTTGTGTTACTAAGAAAATGTTGTCCTGGATTTTATTAGAAATTAATACAAAAATAGAAGTCGAACAGTGTATATACACATATCAATTATACAGGTACATATTTACTCAAAAAATATCTTATATTTTTTAAATTTTATTCCATCCGCGTTTGACGTGGTACCCATTTTCAAAAAATTAACAATATAACTGTAGAATTATTGCATAACCAAATTGCTTATTTAATAATGTAAGCATTACTAGTTAAGCGTTTTCACGAAGCCTATTAATATTCTATTCTAGACATGTTGTATTCATAAATATGATTCTGCGTATAAGCGTATTCGTATATTTTTTTATATACTTAGCTATTTACATTATTTTTTTATGAATTCGGCGTTTTTTTGTAGTTTTTTGAACGGGATATAAAACATTCTTTAACTCGCTTCATTCGACGGCAACGGTTCTTGACTAGGTGCTAGATTGCGTTAGAAAAGAAACTAAAAAGTAATACGGCATACTAAATATAAAGGTTAAATAACAAGGCTATGTGGTAGCTTCCGCTAGCTAACCAGTGGCAATAAAACGATGGAAAAATACTTTGATCTAGGACATGAACTAATTCTTCTCCACACTTCATTAGAACTTTATAGTCGTATAAAATTAATTGAGAATAGATACCATTGATCTTTTCTATTATCATTTCAAGTGACATATTGCTACTGCTGGAAACCCCCTAAAGATCACACAATCTTTTTGTTTCTATAATACGTATCAAATTTCAAAAATCAACTCTGATATATTAAATGCGTTATAAAATTATATCGTATGTTTATTATTACAAAGATCGAACCAGAAAAATTTCTTCGACTCGGTGGGACTTGAACCTACGACCATGCAGCAAGTCACAGTCAGTTTCGAAAAAAAATAATTTAACATTGTTTTTGTTATTAAAAATGCAATATCGTATGTCGTTAAATATTTATCTAAACAATAACCTCTAAGCAACTATAATACCACAAGTAAAAATAAAAGGCACCGTTTCGAAAAATCAATACTGTTTTTGGTTTCTATATAAAACAGTACATTGTATGTTAGACGGCTTTACGACGTTTGTAATTTTTACCGCCCGTGCTACGTACAATGTTTTTCCATCACATTTGTGAAGAAATAGATGCAACGTTAGTTTATTTCTTGTATTAATAAATACAATGCAACATTTACAGATTTTGTAAATGGCGGGATTTTTTTTTAACAGATGGCCAGCTATTCTTCCATAGATAACACAACTCGAACTAAAATGTTTTGCACAGTGTATTAGTTAAGTATATAAAATAAATAATTTCCAAATTCTAAATATGCTGCAGAATTTTAATTCACTAAATAAATTTAAGAAAATATATTTGAATTGCAAATGTTTAGCTTTTTTTATACTTTTTGCTTAATCTTGACGTAAAAAATCCATAGGGCGATAATGTAATGAAAAAGGCCGAGCGTAATTTAAGACATTACGGTCTACGTTGCCTGCATGTCATGACAGTTTTCGTTTATGTGCAAGTGTCATTGACTTACAAATAAATGGACAACGGGTCTAATACAAAAACCACGAAAAAAATGTCCCAAGTCAACCTATTTAAACGTAGTGACATGTAAAGGAATATGAAAAAGCTAAAACGTTGGATTTAAATTGTAATGTCATCGCAGTACTGTCTAATTTTGCTTTATTCGCTGTCAGTCGAACAAACGAAGACTAAAGCGTGAATGACGCTCTGTATACGATTTTAGCGCCCTATAAGCTCGGACACTTTTTAGCGCGGACCCGACGTCCATATAATTGTAAGTCAATGGCAAGTGTGATGAAAAAATATTGGGCCAAGTCTTGCATAACAGTGCCTGTTAGAAAGTGATTTTGAGCTCTCGTGTTGAACCATTTGTACTAAAAAAGTTAAAAACATTTTCCGTCTAAATAAGCCACTCATTTTCTCGAATATTGCGCATAGAAGCTTATTATAGTTCAAAATAATATAGGTCGAAATCGATAAAAGGCTATCGCATTTCCGCTACCGTTCATTTGAAAGCCGTATGCGCAGCGAATTTAGTTTATGCTCATTTTTCCTACCTATTAATTCGAAATTATAAACGTTGTTGCAGTAATTAAGAACCCTTCCCTCAAAAATTCAAAACTTCTTAAGTTTTCGCTATTGCCTAAGAAATGAAACTATTTTTTCTTTTTTTTTGTTCATGGTTATCATGATATATCATGACATATGGTTGTCATGAAGTAAAAAGCAAAATCCATCTGTGATATTATTTATTGCAAATAATACATAGGTGTAAATTTGCTAACGTTGTTAGAATGTGAACCTAACTTGTCAATCATATTATTTAAATTTGATGACAGATATACAAAAGTTACGTGCAATCTCATTATCCATATGGCACTGTTAATACAATAGTGTGTTAACTCGAAAAGTGTATTTTTTCAGAATGGATGAAAAACGAATTACTCACTTCCCGTGAATGAAATTTATGTATTAGGTTTAAGTTTATGATAGACATCTAAATAATTTCCTCGAATATATTTAAAAGTAAAAGGGAAAATGTAATTTCATATTTTTGAGTACTGCCGCCTTACTTATTTCTGCCGCCAAGCAGTAATGTGACCATTACTGAGTTCCGGTTTTGAAGGGTAAGTGCTGGTGATATTACAGACACATGGGACTTGTCAACTTATATCTCAGGGTGACGGGCGCTGTGGTAGTGCGCCTCAGATCTTTGCGATTTGAATCTCTGAGTGGTACAGCAACTGCACGGGCGTGTAGTTTTTCACCAGGTACACGACTTGTACACTTGTTGACAGGTGCCGTCACTTGATATAATGATAATAATTGTTCAGAACTAGCTCACAAAAAGTTTGTCTCACTTTGAGTTAAGAAGATATCTTTAAATTGTTTCTTACAATACGTTAACGACGGTTTTATTGAAATGTGGAGAATGAAATTTTGCGTTTTTAAAATGGTATAATCTTGAATATCACATATTTTGAGTTACACCATTATGGTAGTAGCAATTCCATATATGGTGATAGTATTGTAGGAAAAAATAGAAAATAAAATTTTGTTTATTAGCCCCCGACTTAAAATGAGTAGAGTCATAAGTTTGAAGCCTGTCTGTGTATCTTTACTAGCAGTAGAGCTCTTTATGAAGGATTTCGTCATCGACATGAGCGGTTTTGAATGGTAGGGTGCTGGTAAAATTATTGCTGGTGGGTTTTAACTCACTGCCCATCTCTGGTTCCGACAGGTAGTATATTGATATTAGCGAGAGCTCGAAATTTCATATGTAGAGGTATTTGTGTGTTTACAGAAGAATTTGTGGCTGTGCGAATGGTACACCACTACATATGCAATTCCGAACTCTCATTACTGTGACTTCAATGGTTGACTTTACTGATTTTTTAAAGTTCGCTGTTTTGTATCTTCTTTGTGCCGTCTCTCTACGACGTTGGCGATCATCACGGCTATTCTCATTTCTCATTTGCTGTTTTGTATCGGAAGTTTTAATTCATCTTATCTTCCTGGCCCTTGCCA